AAATTGACTAATGAAACTCAAACTCTCAATAAAGTTCTTGATGACATGAAAACACAATACGATCAAGCTAATCAACAGCATCAACAATACACTAACGATGCAAATAACTTTCAATCGGCCCTTTCAAATCTTCAAGCTACTGCTAATGCTAAATATGAAGAAATCCATAAACTTTGTAAAGAATTAAGTAAAATTTGTTCTCGATTTAACTTTGTTGATGAACTTCATGCAAATATTGAGAGTATGAGACAAGATGCGAGATTGATACAAAATGTTAATATACGAAAAAATGCTGAATCTGAGATTGCAAGACTTGAAAAATTAGCTAATGACTTATCTTCCAATCGGGTTCGTCATGACACTTCAATTTCCGATTTCGCCATATACAATTCCAATACACATGATGATTATGATGATATAATGTCAACAAATCAAAGTCCTAATATTCAATATATTGGAAAATCAAAATTTGGAAAAAAATTAAAGAATATTTTCAAGAAGAAATAAGATTCTGACAGATCATTTAAGCAATTCGGATGAAGTTCTTTTCTTTATTTATATACATTAAGTGAACGATATCACGTTGCCATAGTTCTCTTATTATACAAATTTCCTCATTATACAAATTTCTCATATTTATTTCTATTTTATATTGATATTATTCCTTCTATATCTTAGAGCTTATCTGACTCAGTCCCTAAATTGATCCGGTGCATTACGTTTTTTGATGCATTCTAGATTTAAAAAAGGCAAAATGGTTATTCTTTTGATGCATCTGCATAAACATTATAAAGATCTTATCAAAAACGTATTACGGAAAATTTTTTGCCTGTTCGCATCCGTGTTTAAATTTGTAACTTAGTGTAATGAATGCATGAAAATTCACGCGTTTGTATCGCATGCTCCGGATCAATAATGCCGCATATCTTTTTTTTTAGTACAGCATATCTACATGTTGTTTAACGTTTAGCGATGTCTAATTTATTCATATGTATATTTATTCTCTCCTAAATAAATATTAAATAATTTATTGAGATCTTTAAATGCAAAAACATAAATGCATAAACAACTTATGTTTCTAAGTCAAAGGGATTTAGAGTAAGTCTTATATCAAAATTATGACAAAAATTTGTTTGTTAAAGCATGAAAACAGTTTCATTAGCAAAATTTAATTTATCGATCTCGATCGACATAACCGTATCATTTTTTGTTGAAACGCTCGGGCATTAGTATTTTTAGTAGTGAAGGACGGTTTAGTCCTTGAACGATTGTAATTGGTTGAATAGTGGGTAAGGGTGAATACAGAAGTAAATCTTAATGAATATGGCCGTTTTAACCACTTTCAACCTAAAATTAACATATATTATAATATGCTACATAATTATGGATTCAAGGTAAGCTCAAAAGACTGTTTTTATGAGACTCACTTCCAATAATTTTTGAGTAAAACTAGTAATGTTCAAATTTATGACTATAAGTTGAAATATAAATATGCATATGCATATATAATTAATAAAAATTTTGTCAAATAAACTCTATGGTATAAAAACGTACCCGAGTATTATATAAGAAAAAAAGTGGAACATTGTTTTATACGTTCACATGGTGCTAATACTAACTAGATAGCTGCACGACACCATCGCGTGAAACCAGGAACGGAAGATCTAGAGCAATGCAATATGAGAGGGCATTTTTTACTCAAAATTTTTACAAATTTATTGTAATAAAAAAAAATTTAACCAAAGCTTATTTTTATAAAAAAGAAATCGATAAACTTAACAACCTAAACGCTTAATCATAAAATTGTACTATTTTTGATAAACAATATTCTCTATTACTGGACCTTGCACAGTTATCAGTCTTGCTATAAGGTCAGACAAATAAAAAATTCAAAGCATTGTTTTCGCACTAAATTAAAAATACTAAATTCGTACTATTAATGAATCTAACATATTTCATGCAGTTATCAGGAGTCTTGCTATAAGATTAAACAAATGAAGTATTTAAAACATTGTTCTTGTGCCACAATAAAATACTCAATTCATACTATTAACAAAACAAACTGAACAGCATAGAAACAATCAATCACACTATATCTTACAAATTGTAAAATTAATAATCACAAGACAATAGAACAATATCAAACCAGA